CAACGATATCCCTTTGACATAGCAGAATACCCCAAGAAAATACACCTAATAGATTTATCATTAAGTTTATGACGAGAAGGACTATGGTTATGAATAAAACAAGTACAGCCGAAAATACGAGGCAAAAGGTGAAACAATGTATAATCAGGCTGGAGAATCTGAAGTGGGGCTTTACCACCCAATACTCGACTGAGAATACGATTAATCAGAAAAACAACTGTAAGAATAGCCATATACCAATAGAATTTAGGCATATGCATACCACTCAGAAGACATCGGACCACAGACATAAGATGACTGTTTTTACGTTCAGCCACGCTATTTTGCTTAGAAGTATGGGGTAAGTGAGTTGATGTAAAATCCCCTTTTTATTAAGTTTAGTTCGGAACTCATTCGAAACATATTTACGTTCATTATCAAACCGAATATTACGAACAACAGTGTTATACTAGGTTTTGATCATTTAAACAAACTGGGTAAATAAAATAAGCACATCAGATTTCGTTTTCAATAAATAAACCCAAGTACAACGAGAATAATCATCAATAAATGTCACATAATATCGATGCCCAGATAAAGCAATAACTGGGGAAGGGCCTAAACATCAGAATGAATAAGATCAAACATACTAGGAGCATGACTCATATGAGAAATATCGCTAGTTCTAATATGTTTAGAAAGCTCACAAACTTCACATTGAAACTTATGGTCCTTGCATGTTTTATTTAACGAAAGAAATAATAAACATAGATACTGAAAGTTTACATGCCCCAAACGTGCATGCCATAGACTAAAAGTGTGAAAAGAAATATCATAAGCACTAGAAATAGGTAGGACAGAAGCTTGAAGACCTGTTCCTGGTGGTTCCCCAAAGTAGTAAAGCTCATCACGCTCATAACCGCTGCTAAAAAATCCTCTTCGAACAAAGGTCCTGCAGCAGACAGTGATCTGGTAAGAATATAACTGCACATTGGAGGTTTTTTGCAAGCCGGCTAACAGATAAAAGGTTAAAGGCAAATTTAGGTACATGAAGGACAGATGAAAGAGTAATATCATGAGACAGACAAACATCACCCTTACTGTGAATGTAAGATGTAGAGCCATCCGCAAGATACATAGATTGGGTAACATGTATGATATTGGAAGAAAAAAACTGATAACTCACCAGTCATGTGATCATTGGCCCCAGAATCTAGAACCCAAGTAGGCTGCCTGGCCTTAACATGAAATGTAATAGGAGTACCTGTAGAAATAGTGGCAGTGGGAGCAGTTGAAGGAGCACCAACTCTAGAAGTAAGGGAGCCAAGCTGGTCCTGGATCTGCCCAATTTGAGACTGAAGCTGGCTTAGTTCAGGAAATACAGTAGATCCACCAGTAGTAGCAGGAGTCTTTGCAACAACAACAGTACGAGAAGAACCAGTTCCAGATAAACAGTTCCTAGAAAATTTCTGCTTCAGTTCAGGGTGAAATTTGAAGTAGCGAGCCTTAACATGTCCAACCCCTCCACAATGTTGGCAAATAATCTAACCTCCAGAAGTACATGATCCAAAGTTGGCTGCAAAAGCCATATTATCGACAAGTGAGGGCTGAATTAAACGGTGCCTGTGTTCTTCACCATCAACAGTAGCAAAGGCCTCCAATAGGGATGGAATTAGTGATGCATTCAAGATTTGAGACTTAAGTGGTTCAAATTATGGGCGTAATCCCATAAAAAACTGATAGGTATGCTGACGATCAAGAAATTTGACAAGAAGAGAGGCTGCCTCGAAAAGAAATTCACTTAGAGGCTCATATTAAGCCAGTTCCTCCCAACGAGATCTCAAATACCCAAAGTAATCAGTTACAGACAAATTCAGGCCTTCTTGCGAGGCCTTAGCAATATCTTGGTATAATTCAAAAATACGGGCATCATTCCTAGAATGAGTATACATTTGTTTCAAAGCAGTCCACAAGTCATTAACAAAGTCATAAAATATGAATATATTATAAATTCGTTCCTCTATATAATTAAACATCCATCCTAAAATGGTGTAATTGTCCATATCCCACTGAGTATATTTAGGATCTTTAATATCTGACATCTTTTCAATGCCCAAAAGCCACCCTGATTTGCCTTTCCACCAATATAAAGGCGGAGGGAACGAGCCCAGGATGCAAAATTACGGCTATTCAACAGCACACTAGTAACTCGTTGAGCCGGTGTGTGTTACGCCTAAGAGAGAGTTTTTTAATTATTACTTGAATCAACCATAATATTAAATAGAACAATTCAATAGATCACCAATAATTTCAAATAAAGGAGGAATAAACATAATTTTGATCAAACCAAGAAGCCGGAGACATGGAGGTCCGATCCGAAAATGCTGCCGAATATCCCGGCAGCCCCAAAAGAATTGCAAACACGTCTTCTGACCTTTAGTGTATGAAAAAGACTAAGGGGATACCCCTATAGGGGTCGAACCTAGAGGAGATTGGCTCCCCCTAAGACTGTCGCAACAACGACCTGAAAAAGAAAGAGGGTCTGTGTAATGTTTATGAAAGAAAATATATATATATATATATATATATATATATATATATAAAAGTTAAAAAATGAAATTTTAGTAGCTGTGGGGCCCGCCACTAATGAAAGCCTTTATCAATGACCTTATAGTCATTGCAGAACCTCTCCCTTACAGTAGCTTCAGTTTTTATTTTTATTTTTCCTCCATTTGAGCTTCATTATTTCTCCTCCATTTTTTCGGCCAAACGATTAGGTTTTCGGTCTTGGCTCCTTGACGGAAAACGTCCCTCTCGTCGTTCTCTATCACATAGTCAAAGGATTTAATTTTTGGAGGAACGGTGATTATTTTACGAATTTTTGAATTTTTTGGATGTAAGGCTTCGGAGGGGGTTTTGGGCTACTTGGAGTCGGATTCCGGAGCTAAGCCTTTGGAGCAGTAGAATCTCCTCGTCGACGGTTACATTCCCACCGAATAGTTTTCCGTTCCGCCACCGTTGACTGGAGTTGACCGGCATTGACTGCGTAGTAGGGGTGTTCTAATACCCATTTCTTTGAGCTTTGTGAATTGATCTCCTTTAATTGATGCACAAGCATGCTTATATTGTGTTAAATTCTTAAGATGTAATTTATATATTGTATATATGATTTTTTTTTTTGTGTTGTAGAAAGTGTGTGATTATGTGATAGCCGCCTTGTTAAGATGATACATGCTTAAATGATGTTAATTTAAGCCTTATGTATTTAAGCTGTTGGATTTGCAAATTGAAAGTATGTAAAATGCCATGAATTAGAAATATGAGAATGTGATATTGTGTGGAAATTCATATTTTAAACATGTCTAAATGACGTGGATGATATGTACAAAATTTTTATATTGTCATAGCATTGAAGGAATTGCATAATTCATGCATTACCATTGGGAAAGTAAAGGGAAAATTTTATTTTTTTTAAAAAATAAATGAAATTGTTTTTGGGAAAATATTTTCAAATGTGTTTGCGAAAATCGGACGCCTAGAAGAAGCCTAGTGGTCCGTGTTGTTAATGTAGTCTAGAAGGGAGTATGGTTGAACTAACTAGGCCGGATGCGACGCTTTGGAGGTGCCTTGTGGTCGTGGATAGTTAGTCAACCCTCCATTCGTGACGCCTTGGAAGTGCCTTGGGACGGATTGCACTAACGATTTGGAAATTGAAATGGTATTATTTCAAAAATGGGGAGCGACATTGCATGGCATGGCATTGCGTTGGCATACATTGTATATTTGGTGGTTAGACGACTTGCGTATGTATTTGTTGATATCACTGTTGCTTTACTTACTTTCCTCGAGGCATGATTCCATTTACTTGTATTCTATTCCTTGTATGGATTCACGGGGTCGAAAAAGGTGTGTCTTAGACGCTTCCTACTGAGCTGTTGGCTCACCCTATTTTATTATTAACATTTTTCAGGATACGGAAGGGAAGTGGTGGATGACGCTTCTCTACAGTTTTTTTGACGGGTTAGTTGACTGTTTTGACATATTTTGTAGCTATGATCCCATTATTATTATTATTATTATTATTATTATGTATTGACATAAGAAATGATGGTAGTGCCCTTAGTTGACCTCGGGTTCGAGTAAGGACTCGGTTAACGATTCGGACCCTCGAGTTCGGATCGTTATAGTCTGTGGAGAAAAGAAAAAAAAGAAAAAGAAAGAGGGAAGGGGCTATGACGAGATAGAGAGAGATCAAAAGAGGCGGTGAAAGAGAAAGAGAGAGGAGAGGCGTAAATTTGAAGCTCTGATACCAAAAGTAACTTTGTAAATTTGGCGTACTCAAATTGAGAGCTTGACTATCATTATATACAAGCGGAAAATTACAAAGATAGAAAGTGAAAAAAATCAAATCAGAATAAAAATAAAGTCCCTAAACATTAGCCTATAATAAAGACCCAATAAATATGTCACAATTATTGAGTCAACTTATAGATATGATTTCCAACAACTTGTTATTCCATTATGAGTGCATACTAATTTGTTCTCTATCATAGATAGGGTACAGGTGGTCCATGATGCTGAAATTGAAGAGGAATGTTGAACCATTTTTTTCCTTCTTGGTGTAGGAAATGTCATATAGTAACTACTTAGATGCTGATGCAGCTTGGAACTGTGTGTGTGACTTTAATAGGCCTACCTGCGTAATTGTAAAGCATACAAATCCTTGTGGGGTAGCTTCACGTGATGATATCGTTAACGTCTATCGGCTGTAAAAGTTGATCGAGTGAGTGCATTTGGTTGTATTGTAGCCTTCAATATAGAGGTTGATGAGGTACGTTGATTTGAGTTTTTCTTTTTTCTCCACAGATCTGGCACATAATTCTTTTTTTCTAATCAAGCTCTTATTCAGTATTAGATTTTAATTATATCACCAATCACATTGCATCACACAAGATAAGCAAGGGGTGCTGTAATTTCCTAGAGCAGGGGAGTTCTATTAAATCATCACTTTTCTTCTTTAATCAGAATAGGTCTTCGTGTACCTTGATGTTGCCTAATATATAGCTTTAAGGAAAGCGAGAGATGAGATCAAAGGAGCAGCTTTGGCCAGCGATGCCTTCTTTCCCATTTGGTAATTATTACAGTTTTAAGCAATAATAATTTAGCATTTTGTTGATCTACCCGTAAACTAAACTAAGGAGTAAAAGTGAAGAGGATACAGTAATCATTGGGATATACATGAGTTTTTGCTGAAAAGAATACAGATTGATAAACAGCCAACCTTCAATTAAATGACCTTTTTTTCTTCTTCTTAGTCACTCATGCTTCCACCGAGGCTTCAACCTCTGATCTCCCTTTGGAATGTAGAGGCCTCATACTGCTGGACCACTGGTTATCCAGCTGAATATCCAGCAGGAGTGTTTGATATCAGCAATAATCAATAGGAGGTGTGACGCTTGGAAGGCAATAGTTATATGACCATGACTATATTGTGCAGGTGTTTACAGATATACATAGTATATATATGTGTGTGTGTGTGTGTGCGCGCGTGTTGGAGATGGAAGATGGACATAACTCATGGCAATACGGTTGGGATGCTACTTACCACTGGTGGAAGAGAAAAGCAAACGGGTACTTACTGAAACAATAGTGCAGTTGGACTTCGTAAGATTTTGCCTCATGATTTTTCTCTAGGCCCTCTGTTGAAGGGCACAGTCCTCATCATGCATAAGGTTTGGAGTTCTGTGGTTTCAAGAAAGTTGTTGGAGGAAATGTCTGACGTGCCAACGCCGTCCGGACCATGGTCTACACCTACGAGGGACATCTTCTCGACTTTAAAAAACTCGAGAGAACAAAAAAAGAAAGGGGGAAAAAAAAAAAAAAAAACTCTTAATTAGAATCAAAATATGTAAATTGTTATCCAGGACAAGCAATGGTGGGGGTTAAAAAAGGTTTAACGATCTGCTAACTAAATACATGTTGCTTATAGTTCATATTCCTGTATCAGATTTTATACAAGTACATCTAGCAAGATATGTCCATGTTCAGTCAGTTCTCATATTCAGGCTCACATTGAACTAGTATACCAAGTGTTTTGAGTATGACAATAGCTTCCTCTTCCACCAAAATTTGGCCTGAAGAGTTTCTCCATTAGAAATATGGTAATCACAAAAAGGCTGTACCTACTTCCTCACCTTCCAAAACAGAAGGTCGAGGGTTCAAGTGTGTGTGTGTTTCTTGCCGTGGTAAAGAAAAAGAAGAAAAAGAAATATGGTTCAGTTATCACAGGTATTCCACCAATCCTTCACTTGGAGCTTAGGTAAAGACTTTGGCCAAGTTCTCAGCAATGTCACTACTTTGTCATCTCCAACATTCTGCAATGAGCAATTCTTGTCCCTGTAATGTTGACCATCCTTTATTTTCCTGCTCATCTACCCCAGATTCTCTATGTTTTAACTCAGCACACAAACACAATCCGAAAAGCATGTAAACTTTGACCAAAAGCTCAAGCTACCAAATTCTCTATAACAAAAAATTATATATTTTACGCGAGAAAAGTAAAAATTAGAGTCAGAAATGCTTCTAGTTTGTTAAACAACAAAACCAAATAGGCACCAAGTTTATTCCTTGAACCAGAATAATCTGGTGTTCTCAGCATTTAACAAGGAAAAAAAGAGGGAAAAGACCAATAAAGTGATATAAAATTTCCTCCCTTTATGTTTGATATTTAATCATTTTATAATTGTGAAGAAAAAACAACTAAGGAGATTCCAAAAAAGGGCATTATTTGAACATTCTTAATCAAAATTCTAGGTTCCTAAGCCAAGAGAGATCAACAACATCAGACAGTAACCACTAGCAAATTATTCAACTCAAACTAAGTTAAGATAAAGACACCTCAAGTAGGGTTCATTTCAAACACCTGATACATTAACAGAATTCATAAAATCTGTAAGGAACAAAATATTGGTGATCATACGTACTTTCATTCCATAATGACCTTTGCCCCGAGAGCTTTCATCTTCTCAATTATCTGCTCTCCCTCTTCTTTTGACACGCCCTTTTTGAACACTGCAGGTGCCTTCTCCACTAAATCCTTTGCTTCTTTGAGACCCAATTCGGTTAAACTCCTGACCTCCTTGATTATCTTAATTTTCGAAGCTGCCTCATACGACTCCAATTTCAATTCAAATACAGTCTTTTCAGGTTTCTTCTCCTCTTCCTTGGCTGCCGATGGTGCCTTCATTGCCATTCTAGCAGCTCCTGCTTTCATGACCCCCACAACTGGGGGCTCCTTCATACCCAATTTTTTCATCATAATTGATGATAACTCTGCAACTTCAACCAATGTAAGCGCAGATATTTCATCTACAAGCCTAAAAACCCGATCGGTGGGAGGACTCCGGTGCATTGAAGGATCAAAAGTTGCCGGATCATAATCAGCTGGAAGCTTCCTTTGATCAAACTCTACTTCTTCGTAATCCTCTTCTTCCTCTTTCCTTGCAGGTTGAGTAAGGTGTCGTCGAGACACCACATTAAAATTACACCCATTCAATGCTATCACAGAACAAGGAACACCTCTTCTGCATAACCCATTAAGTAAATGATTCCTTAAGCTTGAGATCACACTCATTTCCTGAATTCTAGAATACCCTTTTCAACTTCAATTGGCAATATAAAGAACCCATTTCTTAAAAAGCTACTGCCTGAAATCCAGATAAAGAAAAATGGGAATGACAATCAAATTTATGTGCTGTAACTGGAATTATCTGGACAAGAATACTACAAATCAAATATGTTGATAAATTAAAATACCAAATTGGGCTGAAAAATAGAAATGTGTGAGATTAACACTTGCAAAGTCGATATAAATTGCAAAGAAATTAGAGAAAGAGTACATTTTATTTTGTTCTAAAGAGATCAATCACATTTATTCACAGAAAACTCATTACAATGACTTAAAAAAAAAAAAAAAAAAAAAAAATTACAGGAAGCGTGTAACTAAATCAGCAAATTACCCGAGTTTCTTCTCTTCAATATTATGATGAGTGAGGGTTGAGAGAAAACAATACCTTCTGGTCTACAATCGGCAGTCGTTATAAGAGAGATGATGAGTGAGGATCCAGAGAAAGAAGATGAAAAAAAAAAACCTAACTCAGCCAAATAAGGTTACGTTTCTACTTGTTTTTTTGATAGAGGGTGTTTGGGACCCTGGGTTGGGCTTGCTAAGCTATCTTGAATCTAGAAGTCCAGTTATTTATGTACAGTGGTTTGAAGTCGAAACATTTATGGCCTATTTATGGGCTTCAAAGTGCGGTGTCTAATACAATAATCCTATCAAATTTGATTTTGCTACCAGATCAGAAAACCCATGGCAAATTTATGAATTTTTTTTTCTCATCCCTTTCATACAAGTGTTTTTTTAGGTAAGTACTCGCACACACATTTTACAAATTATCATTTATATCCCGATTAGATTCAAACTCAGATGGTAATTAAACAATTGTTTGATTTATTGGGCGAACTAAAATAAGTTATATGTTCGGTTTTCGACTCCATTGCAACCTTGCACACAAAGTTTAATTACGATCATTAATATTATTATTTAGGACAAAGTACAATAAACCCCCCTTCACTATAGGCCTTTTTCAGTAAACCTTTCTTGTCTAATTTTTCACTAAAAAACCTCTTCAACTATCTGAGGGATAAAAGAGTGGATGTTTAGACCAAATTGCCCTTATTGCTATTTTATTTCAATTATAAATTCTAATTCATCCTAAGTTCAAAAATTGGGAATGATCATTCATTAAAATGAAAATCTATTCCACAATTAAACCTATGGAATGATTATTCTATTCCCAAGTAATATTTTTTAAATAGTCAAGTTCCTAAAAAATCCTCATGTTCCACGTCTAAAAATCACTACTACCGCCTTCCACTACAACCACTGCCGACTTTCATCATCACCATCACCTCCATTGCCTTCCACCATTGTCACCATTGTTTCCACCTTCAACCAACACATTGCCTCCACATCCACATCCACATCCACCTCTACCTCTACCACTACCGGCACCTCCACTGCCACCGTTACCAACTTCCATCACCACCACCGCTGCCGCCCATCTCCACCTTCCACCATCACTGACTTCCATCACCACCACCACTTGCCGCTACCACTCCACCTCCACCTCTACCACCAACGCCTCCTCCACCGCTACTGCGATCGACTTTTATCACCACCTTTCACCAACATCGCTGCCACCTCCACCTTTACCGCCACTGAATTCTGTCCACCTTTACCTTTACTGCCACCGAATTCTATCACCACCACCTCCACCATTGACTTTCATCACCACCACCACCTTTCACCCACCGCCACCTCCACCTCCACCGCCATATCCACTACCGTCTTACACCACCACCACCACCCTCAACTCCACTACCTTCCACCACCACCTACACCACTGTCGTCTTCCACCACCAACATGCCACTGCCACTGCCATTGCCTTCCACCATTATCACTTACACCACTGACGCCTTCCACCATTACCACCATGCGCCTTATACCAACATCCTACTCCTTTCTGCTATCACAGCCTTCTAACACCACCCTGTTGCTTCCGTCGCCACCACCACCACTACCGTTTTTCACCTATACCACCATCAACCATCGTCATCATTTCTTAATGTTATTTTGTCAAATTAAAATTATTTGTCACTAACTGGGGTATTTTGAAGAATTGAATTTAAAATTCAAATTTTTTTTTTTTTTTTTAAATTTTACATTAGTCAATTCCTATAGATTTCATATTTGCAACCAAATAATAGAATGAGAATGATCATATTATTCCATTCTCATTCTCATTTTTATTTCATTCCCACTTTTATTCTATTCCATTCATGCACACCAAAATAGCATTAATAGTAACTTTTCACAATATTAAAACCATCTCTTTTTCATGAATTTAGGAAATTTTAAATATTTTTTCAATTATCATTAATTGTGTTGGACATAAAATGACAAAAATGCACAACAGAATTAAAGGAAATTTTTTTTTTTTTATAAAAATACAAATCAATTTCTTGGAGTAATAGAAGAGCACAATTCATGAGCACCAAGGAACAAGAACCTTTAAAAAAAAAAAAGTTTCCATAATCTCCTTATGGACGGTTGGAAATCCATTTGTCTTGATGAATCTGGATTGGGTTTTTTTTTTTTATTTTTTTATTTTTAATTAGGTTATCTTCTTGACATCAATTGAAACATTAGATGCAAGTGTGTAAACTATAAAATATACCAAAGCCCCTATTATCTGTCATTAACATTATAGTGTCATTAATTAAATTGAGCATGATAATAAAGCTGAGCAAAAAGCTGATATGTTAAATTTATTGACAATTAATAATAAAACTAAAGTATTATCTTTTTTTTTCATAATTTACTAAAGTATTATCAATGGCATTCAAATGAATAATTTTTTTGTATGACATTATTAGTCACAATTTTGTTACCTTTACATATAGCATTGCATATGAATGAATATTAGCAACTTAGTGTAATAGAAGTCTCCATAGTTTTGTTTATGAATTGGTGAGCGACGTAAACTTCTCATCACTTACATAAACAATGTTTTTTTTCTCACTAATGAAATTTGGGAGGAAACTAAAATAATACTACGACTCGTGGATTAGAATATTAAAATACTAACTTCTTATAGATATATTTATCTTTGGTTTATAATTTTTCATTTCCAGTACTTGGGTTATCATTCTATCAGTTATGATAGGACAATTTAGTAACTAGAATAATTTCAATTGGTATTCTTGTGGTTAGACTTTTGATAGATTATATACTCGGATCAATTCACACGAAATTGATTGCTATTTTTTTAATTTTTAAATTTCTTTTGTATTTTGTCATTTTACATACTAATACAACAAAGTACAATGGTAATCAAAAGAAAAACAAAATTTTCCTATTCTAATTGATCTCAAAAGTCATGGCGCACCTATGACACTGGATTTTTAGAAAATTATACTCTTAAACAGTAAAATATTAGATAATTTTATAAATGTCCCATAACTTTTACATTTTTTTTTTTTTTTTCCGCACCCATATTGCACCTAAACATTTGCTAAGAACTCTCCATCATCTCTAGTCTCTATCATCTTTAAATAACTAAGTAAAAAAAAAATATTTCTATTCTTTTCGTTAACAATCCATCCCTTCCCGGAAGAAGTGTAAATACTAAGATAATAAAAAAAAGTCCTAATTAATTTATGGTTGAGAGATAGAGGAGACACCAACGAGTACCCTTATGGTATAAAGTTAAGGACAATTGTTAATCTATAACTAAGTTTATTAATATTATTTTAGTTGAATATTTTTTTTTCACTATATTATTGTTTAATGTCGCCCCACTGAAACAAAATTTTAGATCAGTCACAGCTCCAGTAGTAGCTGAACACTACCATATATATATACAGCTCACAGTAATAGCTGAACACAAGTATATATATTTATAAGGACTGCTAAATACAGTCGCAAGTAAGACCGTGGATCCGCAGTTGTAACTCCTATTGGATAATTTTAAATGGTTTTGACTTCCGCTTCCACTTCCACTCTTTTTACCGTTGTTTTAAGTTACATGTTGGCTTTCCACTTTTTTAGTGACTCTTCATTAACCGTTATTTTTTTCACTATCTTTCTCTCATTACCTTACAAACTAGAAAGCTTTTAGACTCTATTTGGAGAGGCCTCAAAGCCGCCCATATTATTGATCCACCGGTGAAAAGAATAAAAGGTGGAATACTAACATAAAGTATACACAAAATTCATGATATTAACAAAAGATAAGATGGATAAAAAAAAGTAAAATAAAAATAGTAAAAATATTAATAATGCAATACATGTTCAAAACCCTTTAAAATAATAAGAATAAGAATAAGAATAAAAATAAAAATAAAAATAGAGCCTAAAAGCATTATATTCTGTAAGGTAACGAGAGAGAGAGATAGTGGGAAAAACAGCGGTTAATGAAGAGTCACTAAAAAGGTGAAAAAGCAACATGTTGGCTGTAAACACGTGACTTGAAACAACTGTAAAATGAGAGGAAGTCAAATACAGAGAGAAAGTCAAATTCATTTAAAATTATCCAATAGGAGCTGTGATTGCGAATCCACTGTGTTTAGTAGTCCTCACACACACACACACACACACATATATATATATCTCCAAAATTATACTAAGGCGTTCCACTTATATACTCCCTCCGTCCCATAATAGATATCCCTTATGGGGAGTAGAACTTTTTAAGGGGATATGTAATTATTGCATTGTCCCTTTTGAAAATTACAAAGTTACCATTTCAAGTTTAAATATATATATAATCAAGTTTGAATTTTTTTAAAAATTTAAGAGTATTTTATGAAAAGATGTGAAATATGTTATTTAAATTTGGTAAGTGAATAAATATTTTGGGACAACTCAAAAAAGAAAGATGGACAATTATTATGCGACGGATGGAGTATCTTTTAAATTAAATGACAAAAACAACCTGAATTCTTCCAATACAGTTATTTCTTTCTCTCCTCTCTCCCTATCATTTCTCTCTTCTCTCCCTACCATCTTTCATCTTCTACTGGCATATGGATTGTTCTAACATATTAAAGACAAATCATTGTCAAAACTATCAACTTAAAATATAAAAAGAGAGATTAATCCGAACAATACAAAAAGAACGTGACAATGAAAATGAGGATAACAAGACAAATATGGCCTAATAAAAACCTCAAAGGCTATATTAATAATAAATTGTGGTGTGTGTGTGTGCGCGTGTGTGTGGGGCGGGGGGGTGGTGTGGTTGGTTAAGTAAAAATCTAAGTGAGTGATTTGCCGGAATTATGCATATTTTTATTCACCATTGTTACAAAATAATTAATATTTGATAAATATGTATTTGTAAATGGTAGGGGTCAATGATTTGAAGCATACAAAAAGGGAAATAAAAGAGATGGAAATGAGAAAAGAGATTTTTTTCTTAGGAGAGTAGTAGAGATCAAAGAAGAGAGAAAAAAGAAGAGAAGGGTTAATTTTGTCATTTAATTCACAAATAAATAAAAGTGGAGCTGCGTATAATTTTGGTGCTTGAATAACAACTCCCCATATTAATTATTGTTTTATTAGTTTGTGTCTTGCTTGCTATGCTA